CCTGCCTGCCTGCCTGCCTGCCTTGCCCCCACGGTGCTCACCATGGAGTACGCGCCGGGCGTCAAGATCAACCGGGGTGAGCTGGAAGCCGCCCGGCAGCTGCCCGGTAGCTGCCGCCTAGCGCCGCCCCGTGCAGCAGCCTGTACTGCCGCACCCCCCCTCCCCCCCCAACCCGTGCCGCAGCTGCACCGCCTCATGCACCTGTGCACATCTTGTGCCTCACCCGTACCGCCGCCCGTACCGTCGTACCGCAGTCAAGGAGCTGGACCGCATGGGCGTGGACCGCACGCTGCTGGCGCAGCGCGCCGTCGAGTCCTACCTGCAGCAGCTGCTCAACCACGGCTTCTTCCACGCGGGTGGGTGGCTTCCAGGCAGCCACCAGGCCGCTTCCGGGCAGCTGCCAGCAGCTGGAACCCTGCGGCCTTGCGGCCTTGCGGCCGCAGCATGCGCCTGCTCGCGGCTGGCCAAGCCGGGGTGCTGGGAGGCGCTGCCAGGCCGGGCCGCCGCAGCAGCACATGCATCGACCCCCCCTCCCACCCACCCACCCCCCGCAGACCCCCACCCGGGCAACATCGCTGTGGATGCGGAGGGCGGCGGGCGGCTCATCTATTACGACTTTGGCATGATGGGCACCATACCCTCCGACATCAGGTGGGGGGGGGGCAACCCACGGCTTTGGGAGACGTTACGGAGACGTTACATGTCCCTGGTTTCGGCACTCTCAACCGCGAAGCTGAAGTGCCAGCATGGTGCCACTTAAGCACCCGTGCACCCCACCCACCCGCCCCGAGCGCAGCGCGCGGAGCGCAGCTCCAACGCCGCCTACGACGCCTCCTTCAAGCAACAGCCCAGCAAGGAGGACAAGAAGGCCAAGCGCAAGCAGATACTGGCGTCCATAGGTGGGAGGTGGGGGGTGGGCGGGGGGGCGGGCAGCCTGGAGAGGGCTGGGGCCCGGCAGCCACGCGGGGCTGCGCAGACGCGGCATCCCGCTTGCTGCACCCTATCCGCGCCACCTTCCAGTCACGCCACCGTCACCAACCTGCCCTCGCCCCACCGCGTCTTCTTTCTTCCCCCTCCTGCCCTTCTTTCCTCCCCGCAGGCGAGGACCTGCTGGTGGCGTCGGCCGACAAGCCCTTCCGCTTCCCAGCCACCTTCACATGTGAGGCGGCCAGCCTGCCTGCCCCTGCCTGCCCCTGCCTGCCCCTGCTCCTGCCTGCTCCTTCCTGCTCCTGCTCCTGCCTGCTCCTGCTCCTGCTTGCTCCTTCGCGCGGCTGCCCTCCTGCCCGCGCGGCCACTCCTCCCTTTCCGTGCACCTCGCTGCGAGTCCCGCCCGCCCTCCAGCTTGCTTGCCCGCCCCTCGTTCCCCTCCCTGCCCTCCACCTCCCCTCCTCCCCTCCCGCCCCTCCGCCCCACCCTGCAGTTGTGGTGCGCTCCTTCACTGTGCTGGACGGCATCGGCAAGGGGCTCAACCCTCGCTTTGACATGACCGAGATTGCGGGTGGGTGGGACGGCGGGAGGCTGGGAGGGACGGGAGGCCTGCTGTGCGCTGTGGGCTGGCAGGCTGGACGACAGACCTGCTGTGCGCTGCACATGCATCCCGCCTGACGTGCCCGATGGCGGCGCCAGCCTGCCATGCTCCTGCTCACCCCCCTCCGACCGTCCCCGCCCGCTCACTCGCGGCCCCCTGCGCTGCCCCCGCTGCAGCGCCGTACGCGCGCCAGCTGCTGCTGGAAGGCTCCTCGCTGCAGGTGGGTGCTGCTGCGTGGCTGTGGCGTGGCGCGGCCTTCCCATGTCCCGCACAGATCTTGCTTGGCATATGGAAACCGCATGTGTTTTGTTGAGAGGAGGGTGTGCCAGCTGCTGCTGGAGGGGAGGGGCCGCAGCGCGCTGTCTTGGCGCTTCAACAGCTACAATTCTCTCCGCTGTCCGGCCCGGAACAATCAGCCGAGCCGGGGGCGACCCCCTGGCTGGGATGCCTCCTCACCTCCCCCTCCCGTCCTCCCCTCCCCTCCTCCTGCCCCCTTTGCCACCCTCCCCGCAGGACGCCCAGCTGGCCAAGATGAAGCGAGACTTCCTCAAGGGCTACTCGCTGCAGGTGGGTGCTGGGCTGGCACGTTGACCGAAAAAGTTTGACTGGGGGTTTGACCAGGGCGTTGCCCAGGGCGTTTTGACTGGATGTGCGGGCTCGGGAGGGTGGCTGGCCGCCGCCGCTGTCCTGGCCGCACGCCTCCCTCCCCTCTCCCTCCCTCCCTGCCACGCCGCCTATGTGCCTCTCGCCTCCTGACCCGCCCTGCCCTTCCCTGCTTTCCTCCTTTCCACCACCACCTCGCAGAACCGCGCGGTGGCCAACCTGTTCAAGGGCCCCAATATGATTGAGGACACCTACACGGTGATGCAGCAGCTGGAGCGCGGCGACCTCAAGCTGCGGGTGCGGGCGCTGGAGGCGGAGCGCGCGCTGACGCGGGTGGCGGTGAGTGGCCGCTGCTGCGTGTCCTGCTGTGCTGATGCCGCTGGGTGTTGGTGCTCATGCGGTTTCCCCTTCTGCCTTTCTTGCTCCCGCCCCCGCCCACCTGCTTCCGCTTCTTCCCCGCCCTCCCTCCCCTCCCTTGCTCGCCTCCTGCAGGGCATGCAAAAGGCGGTGATGAGCGGGGTGGCCGCCTCCATGCTGGTCAACATGGGCACGGTGTTCAGGTGGGTGGGTGCCGCACAGCGGCTGCCTGCAGCTGCCTGCACACACCCCGCTGTGTTCCTGCCCTCCTGCACGCACTGTGCCTTCCTCCCCCCCACCTGCCTTCCCCCTCTGCTCCTCCTTCCTTCACATCACCCCTCCTCCTCCTCCTCCCTCCCTCCCTGCAGCGTCTCTGCTATGGCCACCGCCGCCTCGCTCAGCTTCGGGGCAGCCGCCCTGCTGGGCCTCATGACGGCGGCCAGCCTGCTCAAGGTGCGGGGGCTGGAGAAGAAGGAGGCGCAGCTGATGGGCTCCGCCTGAGGATCACCCACCCACCCACACCGCCCAGGGGGCGCCTACAGCGCCGCCTGCAATGCGGACCTGCGGCGGCAGCAGGCGCTCGCCGGCCCGGCGAGGCGCCTGCCAGCCACTCTGGCAGCCAGGCAGCCAGCCAGGCAGCCAACCTGGACCTTACACCGACCGAGATCAGGTGCTGTGGGCCGCCGCTGCTCTGTACCAGCACCACACCCCACACCCCACACTCGCCCCAACCACACACCCTTCTGGGCAGGGCCCCCGGCCTGCCCCTCCTGCTTCCCTCTCCGCTCCGCTCCACTGCTCTCGCGGGCGGCTGCACCAGCCCACGCCGCAGCCGCCCTTCCCCGCTCCCCTTTGCTGCCAAACCAACCCCATCTGTCCTTTGCGTTCCGTCTCTCCCCACTCGACCCTTTGATTCATCACTCCCGCCCCGCCCCCGCCCTCTGGTTTCATTTGCGGCGGCCGCTGGCGAGCCGCGCACCCTCTTTAGCTCGCGCTCCTATAGACCTGTCATGATGTCATGCACACCCAATGTATGAGCGAGGCCCATCCGCCACACCGCCTGGCCCTCTGACCACCAGGCCCCTTTTGGTTGCGGCGCCGCTCCCTGCGCGCCGACTGTCGAAACGCATCGCCCCGCCGCGCCTCCCGACCCGGCCTCATGCACCCTGCCATTCAATCTGATGTGTGTGCCTTGCTGCCCAGCGGCAGCCGCCGTGCAACCCCGCAGCGCCCCCGCAGCAGCAGCAGCGCATTACGGTGCAGCCCTTCAAGGGGAGTTGTCCGCAGGGAGCCGGCGGCGGCGGGTACTGCCGCTGGTAGCACAGGCTCCGCAGGGGCAGAAGCCATTGCGTGGGCGATGGCTGGTGGGCCCGCACCTGTGCCGGTTGCTGGTTTGTTTTGAAGCAGAGCCACAAGTGCTGCTGCGATCAAAGGGGACCGACCCTTGCTGGCCGGCAGGGAACCCCGCTGCCGCTGTGGATCGCCGACGCTGCCGCTTGTGGTACTACCGCCGGTGCAGCGCTTTCTAACGCTCGCTTTAAAGCCCCAGTAAATTTACTGGGGCTGCCGTCTCATCATGTCACCAGCAGCTGCGCCCGCCAGGCTGGCCGAGTCATAGCCCCGCTCCGCCCGCCAGGCTGGCCGCCGCCGCCGTCCCATTCCATCTCCACAGCCCCATCGCGTGCCGGATCGCGCATCTCTGCAGCGTCTTTTCAGCATGACGGCGGCCAGGGAGGAGGGCGGAGGGGCGGTGCGCACTCGCTATGGGCTGATCGCGCTGACCGCCGGCAATTCCAAGGTCGCCTTGGTGCGCGTCTCAGACACGGGGGCCTGGCAGTTCCCGTCGGTGCTGCCCGCGCGAGAGACGGAGCGGCTGGAGGAGCAGCTGGAGGCGGCGCTGAGCGTGGGGCAGCAGCAGCTGGGCCTGGACGTCACAAAGCACCTGTGCTCGCAGCCCGTGATCCACGTGAGCCGGCGCGGCCGCCACCGCCACTTGCCGCCGCCACCGCCGCCGCCACGTGCCGCTGCGCTGCAACTCGGCAGCCGCAGGACCAGATGGCAGGCCTCCCTCTGCCTCTGCCACCTCCTGCAGCCGCCCTGCAGCCAGCTGATGCGGGCCTCGCGCCGCCGCTGCTGACGGCGCGCCCGCTCCTTTGCTTGTCGCCTCCCGTTTCGCCATCACGCAAACCCTCAGCACAAGCCCTCTCCTGCCCTGCTTTCCTCCTCAGGCGCTGGGCCCCGAGCCGCGCGTCTCCACCAAGTTCTTTCTTGCCTTCAACGTGCCAGAGGCGGCGCTGGCGCCCGCGGGCGGCGCGGCGGAGGTGCAGGGCGCGCAGGCGGCATCCTGGGAGGCGCTGCAGGTGGGCCGATGTGGGTGCACGTGTGTGCGTGGAGGGTGGGCAGGTGTGTAGGGTGTGGTCCAGCAGGGCTCATGGGTGCTGCTGGCCCCTGGAGCGCGCTGTCTCTGCTGCTGTGCATGCTGCGGTGCCCACATGCCTCCATGCGGCGCCCAGACCACCACAGCCTAGTTGGGGCTCTGTGCCAGCTGCTGTATACATGAGCTGCATGCCGCTCAGGGTTATAGTGACCCACGACCCACCCCCGTCCTGCCTGCCTGCCTGCCTGCCTGCCCGCCTGCAGGGCCTGCTGGATGAGACAGCGGATCAGCCGGTGGCGGGCAACCAGCTGGTGGCGGTGCTGCGCCAGCTGCAGGGCATGGTGAAGCGGTGAGGCGGCAGCTCTCAATGCAGCCACCCGCACAGGGCTTGTTGGTTTGTGGTGGTGGGGCGTGCGCTGCGGGCTCCCGCCCGTGTGGGTGTCTGCGCCGGCGCCGGCGCCGGCTCTGCTTGGCGGCGCAATGGGCAGCTGCCACGGCATGTCTTTGTGGTTGTGCGCTGCCTTGGGAGCTGCCGCCGGCTGCCAGTGCCACACGGTGCCGCACCATGGTGATGCCGTGTGGTACTGCATGATACTGCAGGCAGTACGAAATGGTCATGCCCGCCGACGACGGCTACCAGCGTGTGGCGGCGCTGCTGAGCTGGCACGAGAGCGGGGCCGCCGCCTGGCGCGGTCCCGCGCCCAAGGCCTTCCTGGAGCAGCACTGCCGGGACCACAAGGTCAGTGTGAGATACTTTGGTACTGTGATACATACTGCACACATGTGTGTGGTTGGGTGGAATGGCAGGCTGGAAGGCTGGCAGCGTTGGGAGGTGGTCGCATATGCACAGGCACTGCTGCTCAGCTTGCGGGGCGCACGAGCGCACGCGCCCGGCTGCATGGCAGCCACTGCAGCGCTGCCCGCGCACCCCCCTGGCTTCCCTAGAAGTAACCTCGTCCCGCCCCGCTGCCGTCCCCCCCCCCACACACACCACCTTCCGCAGCTGCCGGCCCCTTGCTTCAACGTGTTTGAGCACGACCGCACCCCCGCGCGCACCCACTTCTGCGCCACCTGCCTGCTGCCACACGCGGGTCTCCAGCTCACGCCCGACGCGGTCTACCCCTCTCCCCTGGATGCCATGGAAAACGCCGCCCTGCTGGCGCTGCTGTACCTCGACGGCTCGCTGGCGCCGGGCTGCAGCCTGGTGCACTTTGCGCCTGCGGGAGACATGGCGCAGGTGTGTGGGTGGGTGGGGGGGTGCAAGGGGGTGGGGGTTCTGGTGGGGAGGGGTGTGCGCGACGGGGTGAGGCGCGCAGTGTTTTCAGTGCGCGGCTGTGTGGGTGGGGGGGTGCGGCGCGGGTGGGCTGGGATGCCCGCGTGCGAGGGTTGGCGGTGTTGGTGGTGTTCATGGCAGCGGCGT